ATAATTTCTAATGTTTGGTTATTTCGTCAGTTTTTGAGAAGTGGATCAGACCAAGAACTTAAAGCATATATGTGTGTATCATGCAACTTTTGAAAACCTAATTTTGAAGCTAATTTTAAGAGGGTCACATCATACATGAGATTTAAAATTAGCATATATACTACTGGCCCTGGCTATGCTGTTGACCAAACTATATATCCATTTACTGTAGTCAAAAACTACAGGTGTATTTAAAATAAACAGGATTTTGATAAAACTGATGTTTTACTTAACTATATCCAATAATAATGCGTGTAATATCCAGATATTAGTATTGCATTATAAAATACAAACATAGTAAATATGCATCTTTTCCATTGTTTATGGTTATGTTTAGCTGTTTGTCATTCAGTTATTTATGGCTGTACACATCTACACAATGAGTATAGCGTTATTAACGATACTTTTATCAGTCTTTTTTTTTTTTTTTTAAAGTTATTTAACTAGAAGATGGGATAAAGAGATAGAGGAAAAGATGTTAGTCTATTGTAATTTGGTCTCTCAAAAAAGGAACTCACATGATTCATAAGATACATGGTAAAATCATTTTTATAAATGAAAATTTGGGGGTCACGGGTTACACAAGTATATAGGTATCTGCTTTTGTTTGTACAAAATAAGATTACAAAGACATTGTGTTCCACTTTAAATATCCATTCATATTTGCAGTTAGTGTTGATTGATCGATGGAAAAAAGAAAAAAAAAAAAAAAGAAAAAGTGATTCTGTTGTTTATACAAAGAGGTAAACCCAACCCACTTTAAAAAAAAAAAAAAAAAAAAAAAAAGAGTCTATTAATACTTTCAAAATTTACTGTTTCTTTCAGGCTGCTAAATTCTATCAATTAAGTAAAGAGATTAAAAATACTATACCAGAACAATGAAATAGTGTAAGCAAGTACATTTTGGTTGTAAAAACAATGAGAAAATCTTAATTCACAAACTCAAAAAAGAAAATAAATAAGCAAGATTACAACACTAAAGTTTAACATATTGTCTTTTTTTTTTTTCTTTTTTAAGTATATAAACATATGGAACATCCTGCCTCTCATGTATTGTGCTCCATTAACCAGATTTCTAACAGCTTGCACTCTGTCTCTATGTTTTTATATATATATATATATTAAACACTGTAATGCATCTATTGGCCTGTGCATGCACTCAAGAAAATTTGATAAAGAAAATATGCTCTCCTATAGGGTCCAAACCTGTATCTCCCTTTCTAGTAGAATCCAACAGTGTTATTTAGACTGATCGGCCACGGTGACTTTCACAGCCCAACAAAGTTTTATTTAACCATTTTAAATATAACCTTGCTGAGCTGCGAGTCCTAACAAGAGATGTGCAATAAAAAACAAAAAATGAATTTTGCTTTACTATGATGGCTTCACTAAACATAAGAAGTATATACTTATACATTGAAAGACATCCCATATATATCAATTATATATAAACAGTGTAATCAAAATATCCTATCATGAATAACTTAAAATCCTAAGATAATGCTTTTGCATTGCCTCAGTTTTTAATTTTACTTTTTATGGAACCTTACCCATAATAACAATGGACTATTCCATACGTAATAAATACTGTGCCTCAAGAGGAAGCAGGGAGTTCAGTCTGAAGTCTGGAGTGAGGTCCATCAGAAGTCTGTCAGTCAGTCAGAGCGAGCGAGTCAGTCCAAAACAGAGTCGCGTTCAGACAATTACTACTAAACCTGATTGTTCGTACTAACACTTTCTACTTCTCTGTATATATTCCTGTTTGTAATATATCTGTGTTATTCCATATCCGTGTTAAAGTTCTTCTTGTTGGTGGTTCTACCTTGGACTATGACCGTGGTACAAGGAACCGGACCATAACACTTTTATTAATATATTCAAGTTAACAGAATTAAAAATTATTAGAAATACTAGTGAAAATTTCAGTTTCATCGCACTTTAAGAATTGTACTTTGTACATCCATTTCCTATATAAAGAATATTAACACATTTTTAAAATTTTCAAAGGCTTTATCAAAAAAAATTTAATTTGCAATTATCTGCTTTGTGTTGTAACTAAATTTTCTGTAATCTAAAAAAAAAAAAAAAAAAAAAACCTTCCTTGTATTGTAAAAACAAGATATAAATGTTCTTTGTTAATAGTCTTATACAAGTTTTTTTTAATCAAAAAGTGACAGAAAAAAAATAATTTTCTTACTTTGTTTATGAAAGTAAAATTAGTTCTTACAATTTAATCCTCATGTTTTTCACATTTAGAGATAATAGGAATGTCTAAATTTAATTACTTCAAACTTTATTTGGGTTCCATTTCTCCAGCTGAAAAACGTGTGTGTGTGTGTAAGTCTGCCACTCTTGGTAATAAGTAAGATTTTTTTTATTATTTTAAAGAAATTAGTTTCTTATAGAATAGATATAATAAAATTTTGATAAAAAACTAACTGGTCATCCCAAACCAATCACTGTTTTATCATCTCATGAGGATTTCCAGTACAATGAAAAAACTAAATAAATATTTGATAAACAATTATAACTATTAGACAATCCTAGAAAATATTTCTCTCTTTTGTACTGATGAACATTTTTCCAAATAGTTTTCTTATATTTATTTCTGTTCAAATAAAAGCAATAAAATAAAAATAATTTGGTAACAGATTGGTTCATTTACATTTACTCTTTGATCCACGGATTTGATTCTAGTGAAGGAGGCTTTATAGTAAAAATATCCTCTTCCCAATTTGTGAATGGCAACACCATGGCCAAGATAATCAAAACAGAGTGCAGAGAGATTAGAATTCATGCCTCTCACATTATTTCCAGCATAAATTTTAATTTTTTCATTATTGTATCTTCCATCAATTTACACATTATCTTGATGAGCATTTCATACCAATTACTTTATTCTTTCATCATTCTGAAGTGGACTTTGTTTAGAAACAGGAATGGAGCACAAAGAGTGTGAAGAAGATAGCCAAAAGGCAGAATAAATGGCAGCTGATTGAAGAATTCTACAGACCAAAAAAAAAAAAAAAAAAAAAAAAAAAAAAAATCACTTTTGAGAGCCTTTCCTTCTTATTCTGTTCAGTTCCTGGTAAGATTCATCCAAGTTGGTTAATATTTATTACAGCAAGCTAGAAAAAAAATCTACAGTATACAATTTACATAAACAATTTTTTTTCTATACAAATATAAGAATAGAAAAAAAAAAAAAAAAATAATGAAACAAATTCTCTCTCATATATATATATATATATATATGAGATAGATAGATATAAAAATAGAACTGCACTTCTTAAAATCAATAAATTACAGAATGGAATATACAAACAAAAACACAAATTCATAAATGCTACATTGATGAATCACTGGCATGTTTATTAAAATGATTCTCCCTCAGCCCCAAATCCTTAAGATCAAATCCCAAGCAATTTTTTCCCCACACAACATAAAGAGCGTTTTGAGAACCAGGAAAATAAAGAACTATGTATCATAATATAAAACATTAGCTAGATTTGATTAAAACATTGATGGGTCCTTAAATGTGTAAATGTCTTGAATGAAAGCCAAATTTACCTACCCTTAAATCTGTTGGTAAACAGAAAACAAGTCAAAGATATCAGGTACACAAATGTGGCAAGGTTCAAAAATCAACAGATACTAAAAGAAATAGTAGACTGAAAGACCAAAAAGGTAGAAACATGATGTAGGGAGTTGAACACAAAATCAGGTGAGTTAAAAGTAAGGCAAAGCTTAGCAGTACAAAGACTGAATAGTGAAAAACAGCTGTGGAAGAGAACAAAAATGAAGAAGCCTCTCAAGTGGATGGAAAGGAAAATGTATGCAGATTAAAGTGCAGACAATTTCTGTAAGGTCCCCCCTCCAAGAACCAGCCAATTAGAGGCAGTCATGAATCAATTCAGAGCTTCACATAAACAAAGTGCAGTAAGGTTCTGGTTGGCAATGCAGCAGAATTAAACCATAGAAAAGGCAATTAGTTTTCAGACACAATTTGCTCTTTACTGAAAAGACAAAAGATTAAGATAGAATAAAGGTTATTTTATGAATATGGGTACCTGATCAGATGCATTCAAATATTCTTTTTTGTCAGATAAATGTCTTCTATAGATCAAGGTGTAGTAGTTATTAATATAGAAAGAGAACTTGGTTGCCACGTTCAAATTCCAGTTGATTCTGTCTTGTTCACTTTGTGCTAAAGCTCTTGAAAAAGGCATGAATCAATCTTTCTCCAGCTATGAATTAAATAACAGGGAAGGCTTGGCTCACTTTCCATGAAGTAGCAAGCAGTTTAAGAGAAGGAATATTCTGAATTCAAAACCAACCAGAAGAGGGATGGACTCTTTCAGGCCCAAAGCACTTTGCATCCGCTTCAGCTCCAGTACATGTGGTGCTAATGGGTTACAGGAGTTGTGATATCACATCAAAAGATTTTGATATCAGCTCAGCTGAGTAACACCTATCAATAATTTAAATAATCTTTTGTAATTTAAAAAAAAAAAAAAAAAAAAAAATCCTCAGACTACAGAAATTTAGATAATACATAAATTTGAACGTTCTTTATCAAGCTTGTGTTTTTTAATTCAAATATTGAAACTACTATAAAGAAAAATAAGAATTTTAATTTTCTCATATTTTAGAAATATTGATCTTTGTGTTTCCAATTTCAAACAGGTGGCTTCTCAATTTTGTTAATTTCTATTTCAAGATATATAGAATTCTTTTTAACAACTCCATGGAATTTGCCAATAAATTTTTAAGAGGATTTTATTTTTATTTTTTTGGAATCACTTGATTATTCTTGGACTTTTCAATACATCCAGATATTCTTTTTTTGAGAAGTTCAGTCCAAGAAGACTTATGTTGAATTATCATATCAATTAACTAAAAATTGAAAAAGAATGACTTTTTTCAGTATTGTACATAAAAATTAAATACAAAGAAAGAGTTGTAGCCATATCAAGTAGAAACACTGATTTCCATTCCATCACCAGAATTAAGCAACATTAAGCCTGGCCAGTATTCAGATGGGTGACCACTTGGGAATACCAGGCGGTGTACGATACGTAACAGGACTAGCAAGATGGCAATAGATACAATCTTGCTATTTATACTAACAGAAGATCGAAATGTGTGAAGGTGCTTCTGAACTGACAGGTCGCAAGACCTACCTGAAATTAGGCGAAATGAGAACACATACAAACACATACTTGAAACTGATATTATATATGTCAACATACAAAAACATGCATCTATGTCATATGCTAATACATATATTGCTAAACTTCCAGAGATGAACACTAGAATATAAAACATAAATAGATTTGTAATAGGACAGAAATATACACTTTCCTTCTATACAAATCTCTATCAAAGACATAGCGCTCCACAACTTCCTTTATCTTTAATATCTACAAACTATAAATTGCCTACACTTGAAAAAGATAGTGGAGTGGTTTCTTTATTGCTGTCACCAGTCTTTAATTCAAAACTGTTCTTCTAAACTGATGGGCAAACTAGGTTAAACAGCTCAAACCTACAGCTGAGGATAAAGATGAATTCATACCTTTTCCAAGGGCATTAGAGCCAAATGAATACAAATTGTATCTACCAGAATTTAAACACTGTTCACAAATTCCATCACTCCATATTGTTAACCACTAAGCCACTTACATGCCCATTCTACACATACACAGAAGGTAAAAGACAATTCAGCTTGTATAAGATTATATGTTCAAGAAAATAAATAAGAGCTGCTGTCATTTATTTCTATAAAATAAACAAATGCTATATTGCTTCTTTCTTTTGTTAAATTTTATATTTCTTTGACATAAGCTAATGAACAACAAAATAAAGACAAACCCCAGAAAAAATAACCATCATGATTATGACCTTCAAGAAATAAGCAACTATAAAGAAAGATGATTTTAATGGAAAAGAGAAATACTGTTAAATGAGCAAAGAAAATCATTCCTACTCCCCACAACCATTTATAAAAATATTTATAAAAAATTTTTTTTTTTTTTTTAAATGGATTGACAAGTAGATATGTCTAAAAATGTTATTTTAATAATCATAGAAAAGCTTGATTTTAGTTTCACTCAACCAGAAAAAAAAATGGGGAAGGAGAGAGAAAAAGCTAGCACAAAGATATTTATTGCTATTTCAGAACATTGACATCTTGGGCAGGTTAAGAACTTTTTAGCAGTGTGTGTGTATATATATATATATATATATATATATATACACACACACACACACACACAGGGATGAATAAAAGGTTCACATTTTAGTAGACACAAATAGTTACAATTCTTGCAATCATGCAGAAGTTATGCCAGAATGGGAGTTGAGAAAGGATCACTCTCAGCTGGACCCATAGGAGAGAAGGACTGGTGTCATAGAGGCCCAAAACTTTCTATGACACTAGAAGAGACATCACTGATGAAGCATTCTAGTGCACATTATATACATATAAAACAAGGTGATTGGTGAAAGGAAAAATTTAGTATGTCTAGATTACAAAAAAAAAAAAAAAAAAAAAAAAAAAAAAAAAAAAAAAAAAAAAAAAAAGTGATGATAGCTAAGACCATAATCCTATTATAATTATTCTTATCCCTCTCTTTGTTAGGTCACATGACCATTATGCCCTGCCAATACCTCATAAATAGTGGACTATTCCATTTTGACAGCGTGAAAAGAGAGGAAAGACACTACTTGGTTTCAGTGGAAAAAAAAAAAAAAAAAAAAAAAAGGAAGATAGAAGTGTTTAATGTCTGTTTCATTGAAATGGAAAAGTTTTCAATTTCAAATCTTTTCATTTGTATTTAACTTATTAAAATAACAATCAGCATTCATATTTATGATTGCTATTACAATATTTAGTTAAAGTTGTTAAGCTTAAATATTTAATGATGTGATAAGGGAATTTCCATGGATATTTTATTGTTGTAAAACTTGCCATGAGCTTATTCAATCATTAACTTAAGATTCATCAGAATATAAAAATAGGAAAACTGCAAAATTTAAAATTAAAAAATGAATAAATGACCCATGACCTCTTATCCTCATATTGCACTTATGCCAAACATTATTTTAATGCAAGAATATATATTACAATAATAAATACAAATAAAAACAAGACTAGTTATTCAAAAGGTAAAATTTAAAAATTACAAATCATTTTTCAATATTTAAAAGTAATTATACTTTAACACCTTGGTGCATCTAATTACCACCCAACATTCCAAGTGCAAAATTTTGGTAATTTTACTAATTGCCATCCAACAGATTATTTTACTAAAGTTAGGAAGTTTGGTTTATAATTATAAGCTGTTGGGCAGTAATTACAATCAGTCGTCATATTTCTGTCTCCCAAGATTTAAAAAAAAAAAAAAAAAAAAAACACACAAACAGAAAAGAAAACAAATTAATCGTTAATCTAAGTATAAAAAAAAAAGGCAAAAGTTGTATGGCAATTGGAAAGCAAAAATAGATTTGACAGCAAACAATTTTGCAACAAGACCAGAGATTTGTACCAACCAACTAGAGTACAAAAGGCTCAACAATCAATACTCAATTTAGCTTGAAGCTGCAAAGTAATGTGTATAGAATACAGTTAAGATCTGAATCTATGAAAAACAATGGTAATAGAAGCTACCAACAAAAGTTTTAGCCAATAGCTGAATATCTTGCAGAAGAAAGGAAGGAAGAAAAATTCAAAGAATGAGTAGGATCTTAAGTGGTGGGACCTCAAGGTGTGGAATTCAAAGTAGGTTATATATTGAGAAATGAGTGAAAACAGAATGATGGATAAGCTGCCTCAGTTAAATGAAGATTGTTATTTGAGCTGAGCTTGTTAATTATTCAAGTCTCAAGAGAGAAAAAAATACTTCAATATAGGTTTATGATTAAATTAAAAAATTTTTTTTTTTTTTTTTTTCATTTTGTTTTTAAGGGATACATTAACCAGCTATTTGAAAGCAGATATTTCCCATGGAAACACCAAAAAGACTTCCAATTTCATTCAGTCATCACATTCTATCTCATTAAATCACAATAACCAGAAAAGACTAGATATACAAGGTTAAGTCAAAAATTATCCGCACTTTCACCATAACATATTTAGGTTTGTTACACTGCCTTCTGCTTGTGTGTTTATAGTTGATACTGTGAACACCTGATCAAATTTTTGAGCTCGTTTGCACCTCTTTGCTTGCTGTTATTACAGTGTAAACATGACTGTGCCACTAGCAGTGTGCATCAAAGAGCTGTATATCTGTAATAGAAAAATATGAATAAAGACAAAAGGAAAACCTATCTTAGCTAACATATTTTGTCTTGATAAAGTCCCTCAGAGAACAAAACATATTGGTTAAGATACATTTTCCTATATATATATATATATATTTTTTTTTTTTCAGCCAACTTGGACATTCATGAGTGTCACACCACTCATCACAGTCCTGCATCAAGGTCAGAGTCATTAGAGTGGCATTCAGTGTTATGCGATTACTGGGTGATGAGCCAGTCTTGCACCATGGCTAGGTGTCCAGGACAGGAGATCACTCACAAGTTCTTGTTTTGTTCATAAGCAGTGTCCTAAAACACACGTTCTGCATTTGTGTAAGATTGTAGAAATATAAGGGATGGTCCCATAGAGCTGTGATTTAGTTAGATGTTGTCTCCAAGAGATGTTAAGTATAGCTCTCTGCATCCGAGTGTAGGTTCCATCAAGGTTTTTAGTGAATGTCTAATCAGGTTTCTCCATGAAAGGATCTCCATTTTAAAGTTATCTGGAATAATATATATATATATATATATATATATATATATATATATATATATATATATATATATATATATATACATCAAACACACACACATATATATATATATATATATATATATATATGACAAACACACACACACATATATATATATATATATATATATATATAAATATATATATATATATATATATATATATATATATATCTCCATATATATATATATGACAGAAAAACACACACACATATATATATATATATATATATATATAGAGACAAACACACACACACATATATATATATATATATATATATATATATATATATGACAGAGACAAACACACACACACATATATATATATATATATATATATATATATATATATATATATGAAACATATATATATATATATATATATATATATATATGACAGACAAACACACACACACACATATATATATATATGACAGAGACAAACACACACACACATATATGACAGAGACAAACACACACACACACATATATGACAGAGACAAACACACACACACACATATATGATATGACAGACAAACACACAACATATATATATATATATGATAGAGACAAACACACACACACACACATATATACATATATATATATATGACAGAGACAAACACACATATATATATATATATATATGACAGAGACAAACACACACACACACACATATATGACAGAGACAAACACACACACACACATATATGACAGAGACAAACACACACACACACACATATATGACAGAGACAAACACACACACACACATATATGACAGAGACAAACACACACACACACACATATATGACAGAGACAAACACACACACACACATATATGACAGAGACAAACACACACACACATACATATATATATATATATATATATATATATATATATAGAGAGAGAGAGAGAGAGAGAGAGAGAGAGACAGAGAGAGAGAGACATAGATATTAGTAAGGCAGTGAGGCGATTACCTTTATGCTGTTGCATTGGAATCACAAAGCCACAAGGCAATCAATAACTATCACCAATGTCAATGGCACATTCCAAACATGATGTAAATGTCAGTTAGTAAACATCAAGTTTAACTACCATCTCACTAACCAACACCCAACCCCAAACTACTCTTCACCCCATCACCTAACTCAGGACTTCATTCACCAACATTCTCCAGAAATCGAAGACAAAAGCTTCTTTTATGGAGGTCTCAAGGTTATTTTCCTTCCACCAATA